CACACTGCTGTGACTCCCTCCTCACAGGCATGCTCCCCATGGCCAGTAGACCACCAGCTTCGGGCCTCCCACCCACAGCAGCTGCATCTGGTTATAGTGAGTGATCTGTGGAGCCGGTAAGGAGTAGACTTGATGCTTGTGGTTGATCTGGCAGATTCTATTGGATTCTGATGGTGGCCGCCCAATCCCGCAAAGCCACTGACTTTGCAGAAGCTGGCGTGGATGCAATGGATGAGGGTTCACCAAAACATGGGGGAAGTTAGGGACTGAAACCCACAATCTCCATCCTGGACATAAAACTGGAGGACGATGCCTTATAATTATCTATTAAGCCACACGACCACTGCCATAGCACATGAAAAACACCCAACACCTCATTCTGGCTGCCAGGCATGTGAGGAGTGAGTGGGCACAGCCCATCCCACAATCACGTGTACATCACCTAGGCATGCATGGGGCCATGGGCATGTTTTGCTGGGCACACAGGTATTTAGGCATGGCTGGGCGGTTGTTGGGGCAAGGATCTTATTCTCAATATTTATGGGTGCTAACCATGCCCTAATACAGGTTGGCAATCTTCACTCATTCACCCATCTCCCTGCTGTGTACTTATGTCTTTGCGTCTATTATGGTGCAGGACAGAGCACTTTACAGTTCAATATGCCAGAGCATTCATCCCTTCCTGCCTGGGTGTTATTGGCATGTGGCAAAGCACACATTACCTCGGACATGCACCTGGACCTGCTACCAACACACATGTGCTTCAGGCATATGGAACAACAAACTAGGTGGATAGAGCACATCCAATAATCAAGGCAATGCTGAGAAGCCAGCGGCCCACCGTACAATGCTACAAAACATGCATGTTTTTGTGCACCAGTCGAGGATAAACTCGAGTCTAGTCTGCGGCAAAGGACCCATATATGCAACCATGACACCACTGGTGCTCCCTCAGACAAACCTATTACGGGCACCAGAGAGGCATACCCATATACCTAGGTATATAGAACACGTGATTCTGTGCACATTGTC